CGAAGGGCTGACTGGTCTGTGGTTACGTAAGTTGGCTGTCGCCCCAGGTGAGCACGGCCAGCCCTATGTCCTTGCTCTCTTACCTCGAGGGCGACCTCAGGAAGGACCCTCGGCAGGACCCCCAGCTGAGCCGAGCCTGGATCCCGGACCACACAAACCGAGGTAAGACCTGTTGTTGGCTTAAGCGGCTCTGTTCTGTGGCTTGTCACACCACCATAGATATAACCAATAGTGGGACAAGCCACAGGACAGGGCCGATCTGAAGAGAAATACCCCAGGAGGCCTCCAGGTCAGCCTCCAGGCCACACCCACCCAGCAGGTAAACATTGGCCCTACCGGCTACTGTGTACGGAGCGCTTAACAGGGGCCTGGGGTTGCTGGAAGACCCGACAAACGTGATCGTGGGTAGCCTGCCGTAACCTGACGGGGCCACTGTGGAGTGACGCGTATGTATTTTACTTGGACAGAAAGATAGGTAAGCAGGGACCAGAAGCTTCGGAAGCCCTGAGCCTCTGCATTGCACACCACAGTTTGTGGGGCACTTTAGAGACACGCATTCTCAACTGTCCGCAGGCCGGGCCCCTCCCCAGGGAGGAAAGAGTCGGTGTGTTCCTTGAAGGTCATAACCAGAGCCTTTGGCGGCCCCTGAAATGACCTCAGATGTCTGTAAAAGGTTAAGACCTTTTTTTCCTTTTTAAGAAAATCCCATCACTTTCCCCCCAAAACCAATTTCACATTTAAATACCCCATTCTCAAGAATTTCAGCAAATTTCACTTGCTTCAGTTTAAACTCACTTCCTCTCAGGCTGTTACCTGTGTGGGTGCAAACTGCCCCGTCAGGGACCTTCTCCTTGGCCCTTCTCCTCTAAGAAACAAGCTCCCCAGACTCCAGAAGGATCTCAACGTCATGCATTATTTTTTAAAAGAGATCAATCAGGTGCCTTTTCTTTGAAGGTGATTTAAGACCAAAGGTACTGCTGAGCAATTAATATAACAAGCTGCTGCTTTGTGTCCTCCTAAGAGTGGCGGGAAGAAACGCGCCACCTGGGAAGGGGGCCGAGCCGCTCACCTGGCACCCTGGCCTCCGGCTGGCCCTCAGCCTCTGGAGCAGCGAGCGGGGATGGGAACTGTTCCCTGCTTCGGGGACAGGCCATTCCTCTGGGGAGAGAATCTGGCAGCTTCCCTCCGAGTCGGCCCAGCCCCCGACCTCGACAAAGCTCACCGGCGTCTCCCTCGTCCCCTCCTGGCAGCCGCTCTTGGCCAGCATGAGGCGTCCTTTAGAATGTGCGGCCACGGCACGGGCTGGTGCGCGGCGCTCGGCGGAAAGGGGAAGGTGGCCACCTCCTGCCCCTGTCTGGACCCTCCCTCCTGTCCTGGTGGGGACTCCGGGGCTCCAGGAGGCACATTAGCAAGAATCCGGAAAACCGGAGGCCTAAACCTCCAAACTTCTAGAACAGTCTCAGATGGCAGTGCTCACAGCCCTTCACCGGCAACCCTGGCTGCTCGGTTTTCTATAGTGAGAAAGGCAATCGGGTGACCATGGTGTTCATTTACGGATCAGAGCTGGAAGTGAAACGTCTCCGTGCTGTCGGCCGGACGGCTGTCCCATCAGTAACCTTCGGCCATCAGCAGTCTTAGCGCTGTGCTCACTGTGAACCCATCAAGGACTCCAAAGTCTCTGACCTGAAACCCTAAATGACATAGACGTAGCGTTCCTGCTCCATGAAAGCGTCTTCATTTCTGGAGGGCTGCCCTCTCCTAGCCTGGGAGCCTCTCCTGGCCTGGGAGCCTCTCCTGGCCTGGGACCCTCTCCTGGCCTGGATCTGTCTCCTGGCCTGGGACCGTCTCCTGGCCTGGGAGCCTCTCCTGGCCTGGGAGCCTCTCCTGGCCTGGGACCGTCTCCTGGCCTGGGACCGTCTCCTGGCCTGGGACCCCCTCCTGGCCTGGGACCGTCTCCTGGCCTGGGACCCTCTCCTGGCCTGGGACCCTCTCCTACCTGGTACCGTCTCCTGGCCTGGGACTGTCTTCTGGTCTGGGACCCTCTCCTGGCCTGAGACCATCTCCTGGCCTGGGACCCTCTCCTGGCCTGGGACCGTCTCCTGGCCTGGGACCTCTCCTAGCCTGGGAGCCTCTCCTGGTCTGGGAGCCTCTCCTGGCCTGGGACCCTCTCCTGGTCTGGGACGCTCTACTGGTCTGGGACCCTCTCCAGGCTTGGGACCCTCTCCCGGCCTAAGACATTCTCCTGGCCTGGGAACCTCTCCTGGCCTGGAACCCTCTCCTGGCCTGGAACCCTCTCCTGGTCTGGGACACTCTCCTGGCCTGGGACCCTCTCCTGGCCTGGGACTGTCTCCTGGTCTGGAACCCTCTCCTGGTCTGGGAAACTCCCCTGGCCTGGGACCATCTCCTGGCCTGGGACCATTTCCTGGCCTGGACCCTCTCCTGGCTTAGGACCCTTTACTGACCTGGGAATCTCTCCTAGCCTGGGAGCCTCTGCTGGCCTGGGAGCCTCTCCTGGTCTGGGACCATCTCCTGTCCTGGGACCGTTTCCTGGCCTGGGAGCCTCTCCTAGCCTGGGACTGTCTCCTGGCCTGGTAGCCTCTCCTGGCCTGGGACCCTCTCCTGGCCTGGGACCGTCCCTTGGCCTGGGAGCCTCTCCTGACCTGGGACCCTCTCCATGTTACTTCTGCTGGGAGCACATCACAAACGCACACTCTTTCCATCTGTTTGTGTCTGGTTCTGCATGGCTGCGTGCCTCTGTGAGCTTCTCTGTTTTGCCTTTGCTCTGTTAGTTCCTGCCGGGGCCCTCCCTGACCCAGTGAAGACACTGACAGCTCTCACTCCTCAGAATGAGCTCCGCGCAGACCACGAGCCAGGAGCGAATGGGAAGCCTGGGGCTTGTCGCAGTTGGCCCTGGTCATTTTCTGACGCAAAGGCTCTGCGGCCCCACAGGCCCCGCAGCTTTTCCTCCAGACGCCGCCCAGGGCTAAGGAGCAAAGCACTGAAATCAGACTTACTATCCTGGAACCAATGATTTAGCCAAACGGAGGCTCTGGGAGTTTACTGATGGCGTGTCAATAATAACAATGCGGTAAGAATTAGGAAGAGTGTAAATGCAGTGAACGGCACCTAGAAAGAGCTTGTGGTCATCAAGCTACCAGGAGCACAACGTGGAGGGGACAGTGACCACAGATCCAGCACGCCTGCTGTACCACAGGGCCTGGGAGCCTCTCCTGGCCTGGGACCGTCTCCTGGATGTGCGTTCACATTCGGAGACTGGCTCCCTCCCAAAGCCACGTGGGAAGCCCGGGAAACACCCCCGTCCCTCCAGCACACGGGGAGAACGAGGGCTGGGGGCACGGGGGCACGCCGGGAGGTCTAGCTCTAAGGCAGGAGAATGGATGTCCTAGCCGTCAGCGTGCAGCAAAGACGCTAAGTACCCTTTCTCCCAAGACAGGAGAAGGACCTGGTCACAATCATCCACATCCACGATGGGGTTGGGATGGTGACATTTTAGGTGGTTGTCTCCTCTCGCAGAGAATGACACCACAAAACTGTACTTGAGATCTCTGCCCAGGGTCTCTAAAACGGAGAAAGGGAGATGTTAGAATGTTCCATCTTGTTCCTGAAAATACATTTAGTGCACATGTGCACACAGATATTGGAACTGGAAGAATAATAGGGAAACAAAGAAGACACTGTTGGCAGGAGGGCCTGTTGCTTTCCTAGAAATCCTTTCAGTGATTCACCCACAGGCAACGCAGCTTTCCAGAAGTCTCGAGGCAGCAACAGTGATGGAGCTCACTGTTTCTATCTCTTGAAAAATGGCTAACGACCTTACTTGCCTTTTGATAGTTTAACTGCATCATAACTAGCATCCTTTGTCCCAGAGATGTGAACAGGACGTGGTTCTAAGCACATTTCCTTCTCTCTCCTTTTGCCCCCAATTTAAAGGTGCATAAACGTTTAAAAGCAGATACAAAATGTGCCCCACGCTATACAGTCCTCCTTCACCCAGGGTCTTCCCAAAAAGGCCGAGTCAAAGGGGCCCCCCAAGTGCTGCTGGCCACTCTGAGACCCCACAGGGACTGGGCCCACGGAGCCCCGCCGGGGACTCCGTCATCCCAGCTGCTCTCCTGGTCTTCCATCTCCTCCACTCTGAACACTGTGATTTGGTCCACCTGGTCCGCCAAAAACAATGTGATGTGAGCAGACACCCCGGCTGTCTGCAGGGGTGCCTCCCAGGTGCAAAACATGATCCCCAAGTTCTGGCGCAAGCTGTCGCAGCCCTTCCCCGCCCCCAGGCCAGTACATGTTGTAACCCCTGTCGCGACAGCTCAGCACCGAGACAACTTCAATTCGGTTATGTGATACAGGCATGACCAAGACACACTTCGACATTTTCAAGGTGACAAAAGTCAGCTAAGAAAGCCCAGCCCCAGAGGCATGCAAGGAGTCAAACTAGTTGGAGGATATAGAAGTTCATGGTTATTCTGAATTCTGCCACCGAAACTCTCTAGCTTGGGGATTCCACATTCTTAAGCCCACAAAGATGACAAGGCAGGGGTGAGCACTGTCCGTGAGCCAGGAGAGCAGGAGAGCATGGAGATGAAGGACGTCAAGTGGCCTCACACCACGAGTCCAAATCCAAATTTACTTCCTAGCTGTGGGACCTTGAGCACATTATTTAAACCCTCTATAACTCAGTTTTTTTAAAAAGGGAAGATATATATCATCGATTCATAAATGTCTCTGTAAGGAATCAACAAATGAATTGTGTGTAACGTATCTAGCACATAATAATCGCTGAATCAATATCATTAGTGCTCATTAGAAGACGTGCATCTTGATTCCAAGCAGGAATGAAAAGCAATTGGTGAAGAACATTTCATCCAGTAGAAGCCGTGAACGCCTCTGTTATCCTGCATGATTGAGAGCAAAAAGGCAAGTCATAGTGGTGAACCGGGGAAATGTACGAGGGGGGAAATATGAATCCGACTTACCCCTAACACCCCAAAGCGTTCGGCCAGGCTCCAACCACAGAGAAAGTCAATCTCAAACTTGTGGTTCAGAACCACGATGGCATTTTCCTTTCCATACTTGGGGTAGGCCTGGGGGTCTGTGTGGATGACGCACTCCGTGCCCGACCACCACTCCAGCAACATCACCAGCTCTGGAACAAACCGTAACAACAGACAGACGTTTATTTCACGCATCCGCGGTGACCAAGGCTCGGTTCTGCTGGGCTGAGCCGGAGCAAGGCTCTCCCCTCCTGGCTGGGGCAGAAAGCAACTTCTAGGGGTCAAGTTCTGGATCATTTCCGCCCCGCCCCATCCCTGACATGGTTTAGAAGCAGAAGGAAAATGAGAAAGACTCCACCACAGTGTCCAGGGAAGGAGAGGAAGCTTTGAGAAGGCAAATGACTTGCATTCCTTGATTAAGTGCCTTGGGGAGAAGTCAATCAGAAAGCCTGAATCCATCAAGAATGCATGCCCTCGCGTTTACAGCGCTCTGAGAGGTGGCACGAGACCATGCCCAGAATTCTGAAGATCCTGGGAAGTGACTAATCAGGATACTTATAAACTCCATCAGAGAACACTAAATACCTCATTTCTCTCTCCCATTCATGATGGTTGTATGCACCCAAAATAATGAAGACCCAGGGTGTGAGGAAGCGAGGTTACATGAGAGCCATTATACTGCGGGCCTAAGTGAAACTTAAAATACTCTGTAGGAGCTTGTGAAAAAAGAAGTCCAACTTCACTTTATTCTTCAGTGATGGCTTTAATCCTGGTGCCCCATTCCCAACCTGGTTGCTTTCAGGAAACGCCTATCTATATGGTAGAAATTGTCCAGAAAAAGAGTTGCATGTTGGTGTAAAAACTGTATCTATATAGCAGCTTTAAAGAGAATTTGGAAAGCTGAAGGTGTTTGGCAGGTGGGTGGGTGGGTGCGTGAGGCCTCTGCCAAGGTCGTAGCCCTGTTTATCGCCGATTAATGGGGTACGCATTTAGCAGAGGACTCACTCGCCACCCACCCCTACACATACACGCACACACACACACGCAGACGAGCAGGTGCAATCTTGACTCCAGGCAAGCCTATGTTTTAAAACCTTTCTCCCTGAGGTTGGAAACTGATGCTTTCTAACTGGTGCACTAGAACTCTCTAGAAGGCATTGCTAGTTTCTAAGCAGTGAGCACTGTGGGATTTTGGACAAGTGAACCTCTTGGCGCCTCGGTGTCCTAATCTTTAGAATGGGTCGCTTCACAGGTTCTGTGAGGATTCAAGTACAGGACGCACTGCAGGGTGCTCCATGCAGAGCACACGGGAAGGTCCCAGCAAATCAGCCACTCAGGATCCAGCATTATCATTAAAAACAAACAAACACCCTCCCCTTACTTGACAAGGAAAATTGTCTGCCTATTCCTCGGGGAAAGCGCCAAGTCCCCAGTCAGTTGTCCCACAGACGGTGGCATCAGTGGGACCTCACGTGGCAAGTCAGGGAAGGAGAAGGTAAGTGTGGGGAGGGCGGGAGGGGCAGGCAGCACCACCGGCTGGGACAAAGGGACAGTTTGTTACCACTGGGTAGAAGGATGCTTATATTGCTGCACTGATTTCTTCTAAGAGACAGGATGGGCAGAACCAATCTCCTCCATTACCAGCCACAGAGCACAGATAAACCCCAAAAGCAGAACTACATGGGAGTCCACCAGATAAGGCTGGCCATTCCTGTGACTCACATTCCACCGTCATTCTGCAAATACCCCCTGAATGCCTCTCCGGGCCCCCCTCCTCCCCAGCAGCGGTCAGGTGGGGCCGATGCACACTTTCCCCAGCACCCTCCCCGGGACTTAGAGCGGCTTGTGATCCAGCATGAGATCAGCTCCCCGATGACAGAGCACAAGCCCTGGGTGCAAGGACTGCATTGTCTGATTCTTCTAACACTGGCCTTAGTCCAGAACCCGGCACAGCGCCGGCACATTGATGCTTTCAACAAACACCAGTGACCTACTGTGTGCAAGCACCACGCAAGGTACTGGAGGTGTGGCTCGGATGCCTACCCTCCTGGAGCCGACTGCCCAGGGAGAAGACAGTTTTCCACTCACAAGGCAGTGTGACAGGGAAGGAAAGACTTGTTCACAGGATGGATGGTTGCTGAATATCGTGCTCATGCCTATGGGGGTCAGATACTCCAGGCTCCAATCCTGGGGGTGCCATGCACCACTCGCTCATTTCCCAATGTCCCCTAAGTCTCCCTGTCCTTGTCTGCAAAATAGGGATAGGAAAAGTATTTAGACTTCACCCGAGACTGAGGGTGTTAAATCAGATTACGTCGTCAAGGCAGGTAGCATAATGTTGCACATAGTAGAGAATCGGCAAGTGGCCAGCCTTTTATTACTGTGATATGCACGGTGATTTTATAGCATGCAAGGCTCTGCAGCCACTAAAGGCAAGAGAGACGGGGTCAGGGGAGGGAGCCAGACGAGCCAGACCGAGAGGGACAGAGCAAGAGTGTTACAGCGCCTTCTGGACTAGAGTGGGGAGCGATGATTTATGGCTTCATAACGAAGGCAATGAGAAGCCACTGGAGCGTTTTTAAATAGGCACATAGCAGCATTGAATTTGCATTTTGAAAAGCTCACTCTGGCTGAAGTGGGAACAGACCCAAGAGCCGGGCAGAAGCAGTTAGGGGGTGGGTGCCGTAGCCCAGGGAGGAGGTGATGGTGCTGAGGCCAGGCAGCTAACAGCGGAGAAATAGGTTCTCAGGACACTATTAGCCATATAACTAAACACTACATCTCACTGGGAACAAGAGTTTCCTTTCCTTTTTTTTTTTTTTCAACAAAGGCTTTCAATTTCTTTTTTATTCATAATAAATACATTTATAGAGTCATATTGTAAAAGAATTTGGAAATCTAGAAGTATATAGAAGAAAGGGTGCAACTCCCCTTGATGGCTTTGTGATGTGTCAATTAGGCTAGACCGGACTACATTTCCCAGACCCCTTTCTGGTTTGTGTGTTTGTATCCAGTTATGGGGGGCCAAGAGGGACAATCCTGGGCGGTTTGGCAGGAGGAAGGGAAGCGTAACTCACACACATTGCTGCTGATCTGCTGATTCACCTCCTCAGCACAAAGCGGCGGCAGCAGCCGAGGGGACCTGCAACTGCTCCCCCTCCTTCACATCCCCCTCCTTCAGCTTCTCTGACTCCTGGGCCAGGGCTGTGTGTCTGCTGGCTGATGCAGGGCCCCCGCGCCGTCAACACCAGACACAGTGAGAACTGACATGGGATTCAGTCTGTGTTCGTAGGGCTTCAGATGGTGCTTGGGGGTTCCAGCCTCTTGATCTCCCATCTTACATCCATCACGCCTTCCTGACTGCCTTCCCTGGGGCTTCAAGCTCCGAAGGGGGCTGCCAAGACCACAGCCCCGGCTGCAGAGACAGCCTGGCCAGCCCCGTGGTTGAATAAGGACCAGTCCCTGGGACCCTTCTCTGCACAGGTGGAGGCAGAGCCCCCAGCAGCTCTGCCCCCTGCCAATGGAACCCTGATGAGGCACACCCTCCTCCCCGCCCCCAGCCCACTCCCTTGTCCAGGGTTCACCATTAGGAAGAGTTTGGAAGAAAGGCATCTAGTCCTGTTCCTGGGCATTTACACAAAGACGCACACACACACACACTCATGTGTTTCCCACCCACAAATGGGTTCACACTTTATCGACCTTTGTAAAAATATTGATTTTTCACCAAATGGTATATTCTGGATCTTTCCATGTTGACACATATTCATAGTGATATGAGCACATATTGGTTGGGCTCCGGCCATGTGCTGGGGACCGCTACAAGGGTTTTGCGTGTGGTGTTGTGTGAAATGCTCATATTAACTCTCTGAGACTGGGAGGCACTATTATTATCCCCGTTTTAAAGACAAAGAAACAGAGGCAGAGAAACTTCTGTTCAATATATGAAATTGTCATTTTTTTAGGTCAAAAATAGCCAGAATGACAGCTTCATAAAGGCTAACACAGGAGCTGCATGGCAGTTCACACTGTGGCTACACCGTGATTTATGTGGGCTTTTCTGCCATTGATTAGCGTTTTCCCCTTGTTTTTTTATTATTATACACAGGGCAATAAACATCCTTGGAAATGCATGTTTTAGACAAAAATATTTGTGAAAGTATTTCTCCAGCATAGGTATACACAAAAGTGGAATTACGGGTTGAAGCATATGCATATTTTAAAATTTTACGGCTATTTCCAAATCGCCCTCCTAAAAGATCCTACCAATCTACACTTGAATCAACAGTGTGGGAGAGGGTCTGTGTCCTACTGCCTGGAACTGACACTAAGCTCCTTGCAGGCTGGGGCCATGCATGGCTCTCAACAAGTATTCCCACGTGGAGTAGGAGTAATGGCAATGACCTTGTGATAGGCCTCCAGGCAGCACCCGAGTCGCCTCATCTTTGTGTCTCCGCTACCCTTGTCCCAACACCCAACATGGGAGATACTCAGAAAGCTTTTGTCCTTATTCGAATGACTTCCCGGCTGATGTTTTAGTTGGATGTTCTTATATAAGTAACGACACACGACTTACAGATACCACCACGAATTGAGGGTTTCTTTACCCTGTGGTGTGGCTGCTCTCAGTGCTGTGGGCCAGGGCTTGGCTCAGTCTTTCCCTCCACAGTGTCACAGCCAACTGCTGGGCAGCGCCATCTTCCCAGATGAAGGGCACCTGCCTCGTGGGGGTGCTCCCATGTGAGCGGGGACATCTGTCATTCAAGTGAGACGCACTCCACACCATGGCACCCCGGCTCAGGGCAGGCACGGAGCCCCCGGTCCTGATGCGCAGGGTTCTGAGCGGTCTCCCAGCAGCTCCCTCAACAGCCTGCCTTGCCTGCCCCCACCATCCGCCCAGGGTGACAGCAGAACCTGGGGGTGCTCTCACCCTCTCCCTCCAGGAAAAACGCGAGTCCCAACTCCTTGCACCCTTTGGAACCTCCAACTCAACTTAGGAAGTTGCCAAAGGGCACCTGATCAGAAACTATGGGCAGGTGACTGGCACCAGGACACCCATGAGGAAGCGGGGTCCTTCCCTTGTGTATTTGGGGGGAAATCTCTTGTCAGCAGTTGTGGGTTGCAGATGTCTCAGCTTGCATTACAACGCCGG